TATATATATATATATATATATATATATTATTTTTTTTTATTTTTTATTTGTTTATTTATATATATTATTTTATTATTATTATTATTTTTTTTTTTTTGTAACGATTGATTATGCGTGATTTTGTGTTGCATTGTTGTGGCAGTGGAACGGATTTGTATATAACATAAAAGTAAAAGGTATTAAGACTATTACAATTGGAAACCTTTTGTTATACTTGGTGTATCTATGATGATGAGTGATTAAAAATATAATTTAGGTTAAGTTAAAGTTGCATTTAGCTTGGTTAAATTTAGTGTATTTCATTTTGGTGTTTAAATTTATATTACTGCCATTACTTAACAAAGTACAGGAATATTACTAGTGAAAGAACTCAGATAGCAAATATCAGGCCAAGAAATAAGCTCAATTAATCGAAACCAAGCGCATACAACTTTAAAAGAATATCGGCAATACATCTTAAAGTAAATACGTTTATAAATACATTTAATATAGGATATGACTATATTATAGCCCTAAATGAATTAAGAAAACGCAATATCGCCGAACATAACTAATAACTCCCAAATATAATTATAACTTCACAGTGAGACTCGCATCATTCTCTATGTTAATCTAATATACATTTTAGTCGCTAGAGCTCTATCAGATAAATGCTGAAAATGCTAAATCCTAACAAAATATATATTATTTTTGTACAAATTTAATCCGCCCAAAATGACTTACCTTGGTCAACCAAATCTCCGGACCCAAGATGGCGGATACTAAGTGTATGGCAATAATCGAAAATTGTGCTTCAGTGACGTCAATGCGTCCAAATCGCATCGTTCCAGACACATAAGTTTGCCAGTGGGCACAATAGAACAATGCTATCGCACAGAAGCACTGAAAGCAACAAAGAACGAATGATAACGATTGTTAACGTATTTTTTTAAGATAAAGTTTTCAAATACCTGGAAGAAAAGCCAGTTCGGGTAGTGGCCTAGTTGGCAGGATATACACGCCGAAAGCGCCACGAATATAGTTGATATGGAGTCACAGCCATGGTCGAAGAGCTCACCTAGCGGTGATGAAGTGTTGGTGCGCCGCGCCTGCTTCCCATCTATAGAGTCTAAACTCTGATAGACAAAGAGTCCAAGAGCACAGAGAAAGCATGTCCAACGTGGTGGCGGCTCGACTCCGTTGGGACTGTAGCTGAAATTTAGAAGAAAATTTAGTTGATACGTCTACAATAAATAATCACAATATCCGAAAATTTGTCCGCCTTTGTTGACGTCAGTAAATGAATCAAGCTAGTATTTCAGTTTTTCAGTGTCATTAAGCTGCAGAGTAAGTCACTGCCATCGTCATTTTGCTAATAAAGAAAGTAGACAGTTTTTATGCCTAACTTCTTACCTAAGAGACCATGTTACTAAAATAATACTGACAAAGTGAACAATCTTAAGACCCAATTTCAACCAAACAATACTAAATCAACTAGTTAGTCTGTATTCATGTATAATTTTATAGCGAATGTTAATTTCAATTTTTTTTTTGTTATAGATAACAACAAATGTATGTACCTAAGATAGCTTGAACTCAAAATATTTCAATTCAAAACTCAAACAATTTGTTCATTATATTAATGGATCGACTTTTACATTTTTTGACCAAACAATTTGATATGCAAATTCTAATTTAATTCAATCGAAGCAATCATCGATCAAGCAACGAAGAGCATTGCAAAGGTACTTGAAAATAATTTACTCTTAGGGTTAATTAAATTGATCTTATAGAAAGTCTGACAGTATATGAGCCAAAAGCCCAATGATAATCAACGTAAAAATATCTGCCCATTGACTAGTGCACTGATTTTTTGTCTTCCCTTATCATGAATGTATTATATTAACCTAATTTAACAAAACAAAATGACCGATCAGTTTAAAAAAATGTTTTGCTGCAAACAGTAACGTAAGCGATATATTTACTATCTAATCATAGTATTTTCGCGAGACCCACCCTCCTACGCAGGTTGGCATGATCATATCTGAGTTCCCTTGCATTTTGAAATGATATGCAAATACAACTTACAACCTAGAGATTTAATCTATAGTATCAAGTTGTAATTGAGTATTTGATATGAGTATTGAGTATTGAGATGATCGGCGTAAGATATTGATAAAGATTTCCAGCGGCGAGCAAAAGTGAAAATTTACACGTCCACCTAATTCTACTGACTCATTAAGCATAGGAAAACACGCCACCAAAGTTGTGACTTTAACTGAGTTGAACTAAATATAAGTACAAACATATGCAGAGTCTATATTATATACACATACATATGTATATAAAGTTCATTTGTATATGTACACAGTTCTTCAATCAATAAAAAGATTTGAAAGAAACACTCACCAAATTAATATCAGCGTTGTCACAATGTTGAGCATTAGACCGACGATTGTTATGAGATTGGGCGCTAGCCAAAGTGGCGTTTGGGCGACCAACCAATTCCACCACGGTTGGAGCAATGGATCTAGCAGACTTGCACTGAAACATGAGTATTTATGTTCGCTAAGCTTGCGTAGTTGCTGGGGACTTAGAATGCGTTGTTCCTTATAGGCAAGTAGCGGCATTATTTAGTAAGCGGGCGACAAAGGTTACACCAACAAAAAAAACGTAGAGCTTGACTGTATGACAAGGCGCGCAAATTATCGATATTGCACTTTTATGTACACACACCACACGCCTTTCTTCAAATGGTCTTTGCTATATTCATTCGGCTGCATACACATGTACTACATCTACTAAGTCTCTAAAGCGCTTGTGTGTGCGGTATGTCAAAATTTTTTATGTCACATTAACAATTCTTAAGAGCTCTTGGAAATTAATCTTATTTTCACCAAAACACCAATCTTATTCTGCTTTTTACGTTAGGTTAAAAAATTTTCGTATGCCAATACGCCCAAATTTTGCTAACATATATTTTTGTCATATAATTATTTTTTACTCCCATACGCGTAACAAATCGCCTGACATGCCTTTCGTCGTAGCTACGAGTGCAATGTGACCGTTTACCCATACAGCAAATGAACTAAACTAAACCAAAACAAAAAGTTAGGGAAAGTTTTTACATTATATTGATTAAAATTGAATGAAATAATGTATTGACAAGAAACAGAAAAACGTGTTGATCAAATTGGAGGTACTAAATCCTTTTTAAAGAAAATTATATCGAATATAAGTTATCGATTCTTGGGTAATGACAGATTAACTAAGCTTACAGTTATTTTACAACCAAGAAAAATGCCTTTATATGTATATGCAATAGTTAATTTATTATTATTTTATTTATGATTTATCCGTATCTACTAAATTGTTTTTCTTTTATCAAACTCAATTCTCATTTGTAATAGTTGAAATTTAGTTTTTAATATTTGTTTCCAATTTGATTTTAATTCAAAACGTTACATATATATACATTTCTGGACTTCTAATTATATATACAAATACCTGCATATTAAGACAAAACGTACTCTTAATCGTCCATTAAATTGTGCATAGGTAACTACGAAAATTAAATAAGTCGAAAAAATTAATGAGGCAACATTGTTTTTTGTTTAATATTCATTTATGTTAGGAAATACATATAAAAATATTAATTTATTTATCTCGGTGTAATTAATGATATTGGCCACTTCATTTTTTATTGTTATATTAATTATAAAATGCGGATAATTGGTAAAGTGTTATGACAAAAAAAAATGTTTAAGCACAATCAAAATAATGTTAAATAGAATAAACATATGAAGCATGTATTGTAGAATTTTCGAATGATCAAAGGCTAACTAATAAAGCAAATTTTACACAACTTTTTAAATACTATTCAAAAAGCACGTAAATAAAATTTATACTTAATACCGATTGCTTAATATATGTAAATATATTATTTATAAAGGCTTATTTTGATAATAATTTTAAATGTCTTCGGTTTGAGACATTTAGGCAAAATTGTCAAAGTTTTTTTTTGTTTTATTTATTTTTTTAATGTGTGGTAGTTTTGTTGATTTTTATTGGTAATTTTTTATATTTAATTATAATAAATTGATTTCTTTCTCCCGCGCCCGGGCGTACACAAAATAAATAACACATTTAGTGTGGTGTTCGTAGAAAGTTACATTATTGAACTTAATTATGTGTATAATTTTTTTTTTAATATATCAAAAATTGTTACAATAATCATATATAGTGAGAAGTTCTATATATTCGCCATAAAAAAAGACTGTCAGTTTTGTTAGTTCTTGTAATTTTACATAACTTTAGAATATAACAGCTATAAACTGCTTGTCAATAATGTAAAAAATGCATTCGGTTTATACAATATCTATCTGCGTTGCCTAGTACATATATTTGTATGTTGTACGAACTGGTATTCTTCTCTTTCGTAGTTCATAGTGTAATTTATGTTTTATGTTTATGTGTGTGCGTTAGGGTATAGGTTTTTATGAATGATATGGCGTTACATAAGTTGCTGGGAAAATGCCTTTTCTATTGCCGATCTCGCCATTCCACCAATTCTGATCTGAACGATCTGTAACGGTAATCACATCGCCGCGTCGAAAGTCCAACTCTCCCGATTCCTGAGGCACAAAATCGTAAAGCGCCTGCACAAGCATCTGCAAAAGTTAAAAATGATTTATTAAAATGAAAAATTATAGTTTTCGACTAGTAAAAGTTGTTTTCGTATGTTAAGCTCACAAACACAACATAATGCAACCACGTAAATATAAGCTACTCAACAATAGAGAGTAAGATGATTTTTAAAAAATTTCATAAAAAACTAATAAAACTCTAGTCGAGACTAAACCCTTCGAACAACTGATATTTCAATAATTATTACACATGCACAGACGCACTCCCACACACAGACATACACATTTTCGCATAAACACGCATTGGTTGCAGTGTTGGCTCACTATTTAATATTTAAATAACTTTTCTTGTGGATGAACTATCTTCATGAAGATTATGATTATTACATGGACTATGAATGTATTTGCAAAGGCACAAGTCTCTAGTATTTGAAATACGCCTTTTTTGAGGGGGTGTATAGGGGTTGAGAGTAAATTTTAACTAAAATCGAAATTGTGTAAAATGCGTCTTAATATATTCTTTAAAGATGTAAGATATATAATTTTATAATATGTTTGCTATAAGGTTTTTATCGATAAAAAATAACGGGATGAGTTATCGATTTTATGGATACATTCGATTTCCGCTCTATATAGCTCTTATATCTTCTGAGATCGACGCGTTCAAACATACGGACAGCGCCAAATTGACTCAGCTCGTCTCCCTGATCAAGAATAGGTATACTTTTTGGGGTCTGCCACGCCTCCTTCTGCCTATTACATACTTTAAAAAACCGTTATACCCTGATTTCCCATTTTCAATGGGTAATCAATAGAGATATAAAAATCGACTCAGCTCCTCGCCCTTATCTAGGATATACATATATATTGCCAGTTAGACAAAACCATTAAACCAATAAAAAAACATACCTCTTCAGGTACCATATCGCGCAATTTTACATCCTGTGATCGCGATACGCTCGCTGTTCGATGATATTCGACCAATTCGTTTAGGGAATTAAATTTGACAACCCAAAGGAAAAATTTACTCTGGGCGTCCCGCAGTACTTTAAAATGTTGAACTCCATCGGGGCATCTGTTAAATAATGCGAAAATATTATATTCATTACTGGAAAAACGCTCAACGTTGCATACTTGACGGATAGTGAGAAATCGCCGGGGCTTGACTCGCTAATGCGTATTAAAAAAGCACCTTCTAGTTTATTTGACAGCAACTTCTCCGCATCGGCACGTGTTATGCGTCCATAATACCAGCTATATAAATATAAGAAATATACAAATGTTATGAAATGTGTAGTTGATTTTCATTATATACTGTTTACTCATGATTTTTCATTTCTATATAATTGCTAGGAATAAGTCCTTCTTTTCCATCCAATTCGGCGCGATACCAATTCGAATCGTCCTCCATGTTTAATATCTGAAAAATATATTTTTTTAATTTAATTAATATCAACGAGTTCTAATCTTTTTAGATGGATACATTTACCTAAAATTATTGCGAAAATGATAATTATATTTTACTTGCTTACACTCAATTTATACATATATTGTATTTAACTCGTAGATAACATGTATTTAACACAAATTCCAACACGACATTTGGATTTCAACATTACAATATTTGTGAAGTAATTCGAGCGTACTTTGAATCTTACTGCCAAATCAAATCTGTATGCATCTGATATTCCCAATTATTCCACGATTCTTTTTTGAATAAATTCTCTTCTTGAAGGACTATCTTCATCAGTTTCAGAAAGCGATTAAAACCGTAAAATGTATGTATTTGCCAAAGAAAAAGTTAGCAGAGCACAGACTTATGCTGCGTGTCGATCCATTTGTATGTACATTTGTGTGCATAAATGAAATGAATGATTAGAGTATCAGATTGGAGGGTTCAGGGTACCTCCTAGTCGAGCAGTCTCGACTAGAGCCTTCTTACTTGTTTTTGTGTTTTTTCGGAGCCACAAATTTTCCCAATTTCCCATTTTTTTTTTTTTTTTGGTTCCACGGTATTCAAAAATTCGGTTTGCTTTTATAGTACAGTGGTGGCGGCAATATGAAATAAAAAACTAGACTGACAAACTAATCTCATGTTCGTTTGATCTGAAGTGAATTCAGTTAATAAACAATCAATAGTTGCTTGTGTACCAAGTAAGTCACTGACATCATTAATCAATATGAACAGTTTAGAAGCGACTCTGCCAGACAATAAAAATAAAATAAATAAAAAAATTAAAATATATGAAAATGAAATTGAAAACTGAGTGACTAACCTACGACAAGAACGGATAGACAGCAAAACAGAACTTGCCCGCAGTCAGTAGATGCCAGCAAACAACGAGAACCAATTGGTTAAAAGGACCACAGATATGGCGAGCACACACCTGACAAAAAGACAATCGTGCAGTAAGGAAAAAACTAGATTAACCAATTGAATTTGGGCCAAGTCTATGCCGAACATACAAATGTATGTATACATATGAATATTCCTTTATTTATATGCATTGCTTTAATCGTTTTTTGGATTATTATCCAATTGGAACTAACGTTCTTTTGGGAGTCTAGCATATCGAAAATATCCTTAATACAATTTTGTGTCAATTACGTTTTAGTATACTACTGAGAATTATTCCCATTTTTACAGCTTTAATCTACAAACGAGTAGTATGCATTCTAGTTTGTTTTTCTTCATATGAAACGTATTCTAGGTAATACAGATCCTACAAATAGATGTTAATTAAATATGGTGTATAAATAGTACCTCACATATTTGTTGGCGCAATGTCTTAATAAACCAAACTAAGATTTTAATATAAGGTATAAGACAAGTGAGCTGAAGATAGTTCATGCATGTACATCTTATATGAATTTAATAATGCTTATGGATCGATCAACAATGATTGATCGCGAGATGCAGTTTGAAGAATCTTTGAGTGCGTTTTCCAGCATTGTAGTTTATTTAAACAGGCAAAAATAATATATTACTAATACCCGAACTAAAAAAGTATTTGGGTAAACTTCGAGAACGTACACAACTCAGTCAACAAATGAGGCTTGCTTATATACATATGAACATACATAGATACATATGCATATTCTCTTATTAGTGTTGATGAGTATGTGTATATAAATATGTTTGGTTACGCTGTATGCAAAGATGCATGCAAAAGTAAATTTTAACATATGTAGTTCAATTTATTCCTATATTTATATCATAGTATTTGCTTACCTTCAGAATTTGAGTTTTACGGAAACTGAGCTCATCATCGGCAGTCGCAGAGAAATCGTGTTTGGCAATTGCTTCCATTTTGTATTATATTTTTTGATTTGTATAGAAATTGTTGATTTTCTAAGTACTATTTGTTTAGTTTTTGTAGATTTATTTTTTATCAGCCTTGTTACTCACTCACACACATACATATACATATACGCCCATACATATGAGAATTTTTTTAGATGCCTACTCTCTTAGCCCTGCTCTTTGCTTTGTCACGTATATTTTCACATATGCAACGAAACTTATTATATAAACGATAACTCATATATTTTATTGCACGTCTCCAAATTAGTACAATATTTTCAAAGCTACAGGCAGCGAGAAGTGATTAAAAATACACCGACAACGATGACGGGGCCGCAGCCAGGCCAGCAACAGAGCAACAAACACAAAGTGATAGCGGCACTCACGACGAATCAACTGAGAATGACGGACATATAGGAATGCGTGTGTGAGAAAAATAGAAAGAGAGGAATTGAGCTTGCATAGCGTTGCCAGCAACAAGTTTATTAAAGATTACTACTTACTACCTTGTTAAAAGCAAATAACTCTAAAGATTATTCAAAATAAATCACAACAAATATTATTATTCTTGGAAGTTATTCGCGATATTTATATTTCAGACGTAGAAAACGAGTTCTACTCACAACAGAGCGTGTAATTTTAGCTGGCAATGCTGTTCTGCTCAGTGCCTGGTTGTTTTTGTTGTTGTTATTTTTTAACCCCTCTGTATGCACATGTATGTATGTATAAAATCAATGTATGTATGTATGATCGCACACACACTCATACCTAATCCTAAAGACACACAATCCTGCTATTGCAAATTTTATTTTTTATTTATTTTATTTTCCTTTCCAATATTTTTGATGTATTTTTCTTGTGGGTTAGCGCCGATGTTATTGTATGCGATATATTGAAATCGTAAATACATAAATACATATGTATGTATGTTTGATATTTTTGGTATATAACCAAAACATATTCATGAACAAAGTATGGTCACACGCTATCGCTTAATATGACAATATACTGGGATTGAGTTTTATTTTGAAATGTATTTTCACGGTGTTTATTATTAGGTAATGTTGTTAATTATTTATTTTTAGCTTTTGAGCATTTTCCGGTAATCGTTTAATTGCTTGTTGAACTTCAGGTTTAACAAAAAAGATCAAGTGGAAAATGTGGCATTGTAACAGAGCTGTTAGTTAACAGTAAAAGTAACGGAATTGATGTATGCATAGCCTTTTAACAGGGGCGACATAAATGGCGGCACTTCAAGCGACCGCTGCAATAATACATTTCTAGTTTTCGTTTCAAAACTACAAATTCGAAATAAACAAAACAAAACAAGCTACAAGTAAAATACAATTGGAGTCATACTGCCAACGATGGAAAATCATAGAAACTTATTTAAGGTGACATCTGGAGATTTAAGACGCCAAAACTATATTGAATCTAACCGCGAGCACCGTCGCGTTGCTCGATGCAAAAAGCGCGAGGATCTATTTCAAAAAAATCGCAGTACAAGTCTCATTCAAACACTGTCGGAGGCGACCCTAGAAAAGCAAGTGAAGTTAAATAATCTGCAGTTCTCAGCTGCAAATATCGACCAGGAAAATAAACTTTCTTCGCAAAATGAAATTTCCACGAATAATAAAATGTCAAAACGTCATGCTAATTATTTGCAACGCTTTCTCAAATGGAAATCGATTGATAAGTACCAAGCTTCCGAAAAACACGGCAATGGATGCAAGAACAGGCAAGCCTTATCGCAGCCAACTGCATCAATTGAATCAGAGAAGGAGGACAAAAGACGCTCACTATATGTTTTTAACAATATACCAAAGAGCCCATCAACAGCAAAAAATTGCAAATATCCAGATATAAATAAGATATCAACAGTGCCATTCTCTTTTCAACAAAATTTTGAAAAGAAACCCGAGAAATCGTTAGCTTCTGCCGCTCCTCACACTACAAAGAAAAAAACACCTGCAAATCGGACAATAAATTCTTCTATTGCAAATGTTGTGAAGTCAAACCAGCTAATAGATGAAGTAAAACCATTTGTTTTTGGAGCGAAACAGCAAGAGGTTAAAGCAAAGCCTCAGTCTGGACTATCGAATCGGCCTGCGGTAAATCCCCTGAAAGTAGCAGGTGAACCTATAAGGGAAAAGCCTGCAATTCAAATTAAGCGAAATCGACTACCGGCAAAACCAACAGTACGATCAGTTAAAAGCACAATTGCACAAAATGGTGTGACCAATTTGTTCGAATCACCCGCAACTAGAGCAAACTCTCGAGGAGGTCGTGCTGTCCAACTGAAAACATTGGTACAGAGAAGGGGTGTTAACCCTCTATCCTCAGAGCTGTCAGTACGCATGAAGGCTGAAAACCCACACTGCAGACAAAACCAAATTAGACAGAAGCTTTCTACAAAATTGAATCTTCAAGAAATATGCAATTTAAAGACACCATTCACTTCTGACCTTAGAGCACAGGCAACAAGTCAGAAGAAGTCATACAAGAATGACGCCAATATATTTAAGTCAAACGGAGACACTTTCAATAAATCTACTATGGCAAGTTGGGAGCCAAATGGGGCACCTCATGCCGCCAAGAAGCAGCTGTCGCCTTTGCCGTCGAAAGTATTGGAGTTAGAGAGCAGTCTGAACGCAGGAAAGGGTACGATTTTGGCTAAAAATTCAAATTTAATAAATGAAATAGTAATTGATAATTTGAAACTTTGTAAAATTTTAGATGAAATTGCTACTTTGGCTCACAACAATTCAGAAACTCCCGTTGCAGTACGTCGCATATTGGACACTGTTACATACTTTCGATTCCAGCTGGATAATGAAATTAAACGCCTTCATTGCCTCTGCGATGAATGGAATTTGTATAGCAACAAAAATGAAGAGCGACTTTTAGAGACTGGGGCTAAGGATAGTATAGATGCGGCTATTGGGCAAACTAAATTGCTTACTAGCAAAAAATTTATGCAGTTCAAAGGTCTAATTGATCGCTGTGAAGCAGGAGCTACAGGAAGAGATCAGCTTCCAAATGATGGCAGCGAGGCTTCTAAGCCCGTCTTTGTTGATGACTTAGAGGGGTGGTGGGATATGTTGCGCTTGCAAAGCGAAAATGTAGATAAGCGATTTGATAATCTGCAGCGCTTAAAAGCAAATAATTGGATTGATCCAGACACAGAGACGTTGCCTAAAGCAAAACCTAAAGCAGGCCCAATAACTAAGCGAAAGACCGCCACTAAGCCAAGCAGCGACTTAAGATCTTTTTTGCGTAAGGCATTTGCAGAAAATCGAAAAAAACAAGCAGCTCAAGAGATTGCCGAGGAAAGCAATCAGTTGAATCAAACTCCGAAACGTTGCTCACAGTATCGTCACATTTTTGTTCGCGATCGCAAATCGTTTTCACCAGTTCCTACCGTGCTTCGCGTGTCTAATGGCAGTGCAAAGCGTGGGTCAACGGGAGTAAAAAGTTTACTAAAGTCTGCTATTATTGGCGCAACGGAGCACTTAGCTCGTGAGCAAGTGACACCAACCAGAGAGCAGCCAATATCTATTTTAAAAACGCCAGGAACCAAGAGACGTCAATCTACGACCAATCGAAATGTCATATTCAGCGCAAAAAAAAAGGTTCGTCGTTTCCAGTTCACATTTGAGGAAGGTAATGTCAGTGGAGATGAGGTGGACCTGCGATCTGCGAAATTAGATGACTGTGAGGAAGACATGAGCTTGGAGAGAGTCTCTTTGCACGACGGCCAGTCAGTAACTTCAACGATTGGGGAGAATTGTCCGATTACGCCTAGAACTTATTCACTGCGTAATCGTGTAATAAAACTTAGGCCGTCATCGGAGTTTATGTAAAATATTCTGGACCGTTGAAAATGTATAGTCAGCGTATAATGTTTCTGTGGAACTGCATAACATGTCTGTTTTTTCTTGCCTGTCTGTTTATCCGTCTGTCCGTATGTATTCCGTTTTCGAATAAAACCATTAACGAAAATCAGTGATACAATTACATTTTTTAGGGCTAGAGACTCCAAATTTTGATGTATTTTATAGAACTCGATTTTTGTTATATTATAATTATAAAGATCATTACTCTTTAAAGTTAGTTTATAATTACTCAAATGGTAATGTTTTTTTTTTAACTGTGGTACTAATCCCAGTGAATTAATATAATTCATTTGATTCTGAAATCTTTTAAAATAAAACATATCATTTTATTAAATTTGTATTTATTTATATACACAGCGGAGTTTTTAGGATATTTCTGATCTAAATGACGAAAAATCTACCAAAGCTCTTACGTTTTCTAATGCTAACGGAAATGCTATATATATACAATAGCCTAATTAAGAGATATTGAAACAGAAACAGGCATTTGCTTTTCTTTGAACTTATAAAATAATATAGTATGTCCATTAATGTTACCCACAGAAGAGCGAAAGTGTTAAGTTCTAAGAATATAAATAGAATTCATCTCGGTTTTTAGGCCGCTGTCGATTTGGGGTCGTCCGTGTGAAATGTGTCGTTCTTCTCCTTGGCGAAAGTTATTATTTGATTTAAGCTTTCTCCCAACTCTTCCATCACCTCACGCTCCGTATCTTCTATAGGCAAATTTTGCTTTTCATGCAGAACAATACGCGAAATCATGCACATTATAGTCGCCTCTATCACATCGTCCGTAAGATAAACATTCGAGCGATTGTCCTGCAGATATGTTCCGTTGAGGTCTTTTACTTTATTTGTCTGCAATTTGGCATCAACCAGGCTATCCATAGAGTCCATGTCCACATCAGGACGATCCTCCATATTACGACATCCTATCGATTGACAAAAGAATAAAACATGTGCATATGAATATATATTCAAGAAATAAATTTGTATTGCGATTTGTTTAGACTTTGTTCTACCGTATACATACCCACGCATTTACACATAGTGGAGCAGGGTATTTTGGCTTCATAGCATTCGCAGTAATTTTTTAGGCATCCAGATCGTTTGCAATTACAGCCCTTGTTGTGAAGGCGAATGTCACCGGAATTCGGAGCCGTAATTTTTGGTCTATAAAATGCAAAGCACAATTCAATTAGGAATTAGGAATTGTAAAAAGCAATTGTAACCAAAAGCAACTTACTTAAATGCGCTAGGATTACGTTCCAAGCAATTGCGAATAGCTTCCTCTCGCTTCACCTCATAGTCCAGATTGTTGAAGCAATCCTTGCAGGTGCAATCTTGACAGAACTCTCCATTAGCAAAACAGTCACAGTATAGCTTGAGACATTGAGATTTGCTACAGTTACAGTGCTTCCGTCGAGAACCACCTAAGGCGTCGAGTGCTGCAGCTGCTCCAGACGCAGGTGCTTGAAGTGGCGGCGGCTTCAGTATATCAAATAGTGGCTTGCTCGGAATTGCTATTTTACTTTCCTGCCTTGCCGTCGACTTTAGTGTTTGTTGTTGTTGTGACTTGGTTATGGTGGACTGATGTTTCTGTAGCTGCTGTAGTTGTTGCCGCTGCTTAAGCTGTGCTGGTAGCATCAGCCTGTGCTGATGCTGTTTCATTTGTTTAAGGCGCGCCTGTTGAGTAGCCAGTGGGCGACGCAGCTTACTATCGGCTAGAGTGTAGCCGCGTCGCATCGTCGTATTAAAAACTGTTCGTGGCTTTCCTTCGCCTCCCTTGTTGCATATCATATACTTAACGCCGTTCGCATCACTCTTTGTCACCAAGTTGTAAACCTTTCGGGTGGGGGGGTTATTGCTGCCGGTCATATTGGCGCCCTGCACCGTGACGCGTTGCAGTTGCGTTGTTCGTGCTCCCATTATTTTTTGCATATTTTTTTGCGCTGCTGGAGCTGTTGCCGGTGCTGGGCCTGTGGTTGATGTCATAGAGGTATGCGGCATTGATATAACGTAACGTGCTTTTTTTGCTTCTGGGGCTCCAGCATCGCTGGCGCTGTCGCTGGACAGCTGTTTTATTTGCACATTTATATCGGATAACCGGTGCTTATGTGCTCCATCCAAGCTGCTGCTATTGCCGAGGGGCTTTGCATATGCCGTATTAGGTGTAGCGCCAGGAGTTCGCTGTGACAGAATGTTAGAGATAATTTAATGTAACATTTCACAGTTTACAATTTTCAGCTATGTACTTACCCTAGGCACCAGAGTTTGCATTGATGGTAGTGGCACTATGCTTCCACCCGTTGTTTTCATAACAATTTTTGTAGTGTTGCCAACTGAAACAGTTGCGCTGGAATTGTTGCTGGTCGTTCGAGGACGTTCCAGTGAGACCTTCTGTGGACTAGTTGTTGTCTCATTGCTGGCACTGCTGTTGTTGCTGTTGTTAGGTAAAACGCGCACATACTGCAGCCCACTTTTTCCCGGTAGTTGAATTGCATGCAGACCACTGGCAGCGGCATTTGGATTTGTTGTTGTTGTTGTTGTGCTGGTGCTTGGCATTGGCCATAGCTTTATTATATCTTTGTTGGCCACAACAATTTGTTTTCCTGTAGAGCTTTGAACAAGCATTTTACCACTTGGTATAGATGAACCAGCCGAGGTTGTTATAGTTGTCGATGCTACAGCACTGCTGCTGCTGATAGCTGCTTTGTTGCTGCTGCCTGAATTATTGATAATAGGTCGAAGCGAGGATCCAGCCGGCAACTGCTTCAACGGTCCCTTTATTATAACTTGTGTAGTCGGCTTGCTCATTACTTTATTAGCATTGTTGCCTGAAACAGATGTTGGCATTGCTGGCTGTGTTGAACTAACTGAAGTCCTTACGCCCAAAGTTGCTGGCTTGGTGTTTAAGAGTACAGAAGGAGACCCCTGATTTAGTTTGATCAGCTTACCATCGGCGGTGCGCACCACTTGTATCTTAGTAGCCACTGGTGTAGATACTGCGTCTGCGGAAAATGTACCTTTAATCAAGCTAGATGATGCACTTGGCGCCACAGCATTTGTGGATCCATGAGCTGCTGGCTTAGCCATTTCAACTGCAGTCAATCCGCGGACTGTTGCTGATGACAAGCTCGAGGCGTTGCTTTTGATTGTAGACGTACCACTTAGAGTCACACCCTTCGAGAGTATGGCGTGGCGAATGTTTGAGCCGGTTGGTAACAGGCGATCTGATGTGCCACTTACTAATGGTACCTTTGAAGTCGTTCCACCTGTCACAGGCAATGACTTTTGCAGATAGAGGACCTTACCATCAGCAGTTTTTATTGGAGTCATTTTCACGCCAATATTCTTTGGTGACGTCGTTGGTGCAGCGATAGTTGTGCTGCCGATTTTAACGGGTACATTGCCAAAAGCATTCAAGGGTTTTGCTTGTAACTTGTTTAGGATCTTAATCTCAGTTGTTGATGAGGTTTTCGTTGGAGCTGTTGCCACCCGAACAGTTTCTCCTAATATATTTTTCAAAGCTGATCCCATGGGCGCGGTCAGCCGTTTGTTTTCCAATATTCGAACAATTGGCGCCTTTTTTTGTCCCGACGTATTCAGCAATTCATTCGTTGTAGCTGATGGTTCTTTTTTTTCCAGATACCCCCGCTTCATATCTATATTTGTATCACAGCCACCACCATTATCATCGATGTCCAAGTTTTGTTGTTTGGATGCCATTGATGGTTCTATAAAATCGTAAAGTGTAAGTCCTGGCAATGTAGTGGTCTCATCCAGTTCGTCTGTGAATCATAAGCATTTCAAATTAACACGATAAATAATTCAAATATAAAGAGTCAATAACGAAGTACACCCGAAAGATCTGGAAACCGGAATGCAAACATATTTCCAGGTAAATGGATACTTCTTTTTCAAAATTATTTTAGCAAGAGCGTCAGCTGCGTAGCCGTTCGATCACCAACTTGGTCAACACTGATTGCCCCAAAGTAGGGCCGCTTTTATTTTGTTATCGATTATTGGTTCGTGACAAAGAAGTTTAATTCCCTCAATCATTTTCTAACAGCACAAAACAGTGTAGGAACACTAAACTAGTCTGGTTAGTGGTAAAAAACTATTAAATTGGATGTTCCTACTTTTAATACGTGGCACCACTGCAATAATTTGATATTGTCATTATTAATAATCATATATTCCTATTAGAGGCTTCAGTCCAATGAGTGCAACTACTTCTAGCCCTTTTTTATTTATGAACTTTAGAGCTGTTAATATGAATATGAAGTAAAAATGATTCAATATATAAATGTAACAGATAATTAAATTAAAAATATATTTATTTGTATACGACCGAGTTTAGAATAAGTATTTGATGAATACAAGTTTTATTTTTTGGCAGCAACCTTTTTCTCACGCGCCTTTTTACCCTCAGTTAGCTCAGAACGCTGGCTTTCTGTAAGTGCCGGCAAAACATTGGTAACAACGCCAGTGCCCAAGGTTAAATTGCCATCACGAAGCGTAAAACGCTGACCTTGCTCTAAGACCATTGGACGTATCAGCCGCAATATAAGTTTCGTATCCTCTCCAGGCATAACCATCTCCTTGTCCGGTATTTGTACTTGCACAGCACAATCCCATGTACGAGAAAACATCTGAAGCTGAATGAATGACATAAACGGTTTGGTCCGACCACCTTCCTCCTTGGACAGTATATACACTTGAGCCTCCAACTGATCTAGAGCTTTGACACTCCCTGGTTTGCACATGACCATTCCACGTTTAATATCATCACGCTTTACGCCTCGTACTAAGGCGCCCAGTTGATCACCAGCTTGTGCCTCCTCAAGAATCTGATGAAACATTTCTACTCCGGTAACTGTGGATTTTAAGACCTTGTTGTAGCCCACGAACTCGCATTCCATTCCCTTCTTAACGACTCCGCGCTCTAGACGACCCGTAACGACTGTACCACGGCCAGGAATAGAGTATACATTTTCCACAGGCAACAAGAATGGTTTATCCAACTCTCGCACTGGCGTAGGAATGAAATTATCTACCTCTTCAAGCAATTTAAGTATCGCATTAGCGCCAATTTCAGGATTTTTGTCCTCAAGAGCACACAATGCTGAGCCCTTCACTACGGGAATTTTATCGCCATCGTACCCCATTTCGGTAAGAAGTTCACGTATTTCCATTTCGACAAGATCCACCATTTCTTGATCGGCTGCATCGACTTTGTTGATAAACACTACAATATGGTCGATGCCAATTTGTTTTGCTAACAACATATGCTCACGCGTTTGCGGCATCGCACCATCTGTAGCGGCTACTACTAATATAGCGCCGTCCATTTGTGCGGTGCCTGTTATCATGTTCTTAATGTAGTCAGCATGTCCGGGACAATCAGTATGACCGTAGTGACGCGTCTCGGTCTGATACTCAACGTGCGCCACATTAATGGTTATGCCACGAGCTTTCTCTTCAGGCGCGTTGTCAATCTCGTTGTATTTTTTGCTCTCTGCCAGCTGCTTATCAGCCAATACTTTCGTTATGGCCGCCGTCAGGGTTGTCTTGCCGTGATCCACATGACCAATGGTGCCAACATTACAATGAGGTTTAGTGCGTTCAAACACTTTTTTTTCATTTGCGTACTGCCGCATATATTGCTGCAAATTGCCAATAGTGGCAGGGATACAATTTGCAGTTGGGAAACTTTTAATGAAGGGAGTACTGGTTGCCAAGCGTGGACGTGTGACACTGCGCAGAAATCTCGCCGTGCTCAAACTACGCCGGTTCCAACGTAGTGCAACTCCAGTTCGACTAATAGCAGATGCAAATGCCTGAGACATCATTTTAGTTTGAGTTTACGCTTGCCTATTATCACTTAAATTGATTATTGGCACAAACTTCAATTTTAAATCATAAGTTACTTACAACGAGTTCGAAATGTGATCTATTTTTACAATTTTATTGGAATTGAAGAGAATTGCGTAAACCTCAAAATGTGCTGCTATCTAGAGCTGCCAGACTGTAATATTAACATTGCCACTTAATTATAAATATAATCATAATTACCAAGGTGGCAAGTTCATGTACGTTATGCAGGTCATGTTTCATATAATTTGTAAAAAGCTTTTTTGTTTCGATTAGCGTTGTTTATTTTTGCTTAATTTAAATCATTAAATTTTTGAGTCTAGTTTATTTTATTTATAATCGTATATTTATATATTAGCGTTAATTAGAAAACAAGCCCCACAGACTGTACCTGTGTGACCAGCAAGAATACTATTGGTGCGTTGGAGCGTTGCCAGATCAATTAAACATATCGGGATTTTTCACCTTGTAAAAATAATATAATGAATACTGTTTTTGACGAACTATTTGCAACACTTTTCAATATAAAATTGTCATTTGAATGCGTAATGTACAAAATGTAAATGGCGCACTGCTGAAACACTCCCATAACTTGTCAACAATTTGCGCGCCAGCAAACGTATGTACGCACATATGTATATCTGGCGCCTGGGCAATTGACGTACACACGCTGTAGTGTACCAACCATGGAGGTTAAAAATTCAATTCAAACTATAAAATTCCATTCACAGCAATTCAACAACTTACCCAATTCAGAGCTTACATTGGTATCCATTATTTTTTAATGCTAATTAAAATACAAGTTGTTAATTGTTATTGTTGTGATTATGTGCGCGCACAACTCAAAACAAAAAAGAAAAAAGTTATGGCTGCTTTTCTTGCTTGCGCGAACAGCAGTTACGCCAGCGAAGTTCAATAACGTCTAGATGTAATCACTGTAGTATATATAACATATATTAATCGTATTTACTTTGTCTACACTTTCACTTTACATCTGTAAGTCCCGTTTGCACTCTTAATGCCCTTTACGAAAAGTATTCAAAACACAATTTAAAAGACTAAAGTCACAACTGCATGTTGACGATGAGGTTACAGTTGTTTATCTGTAGCCCATACACAAGGTTGTACGGCGACAGAACTTTACATTCTGATCTACTGTTAGTTAACAGTAAATCGAATTATGTTTTAGAAAATATCGTTACTTGACTTTAGCCACTGACCAGACAGTCTGGTCAGTGCCTTAGCATATAAAAAAACGTAATGATAAATTGCAAAAATTAAAAAAATCTTTTTTCTATTTCCAACGTCAGCCAGTTAAAAACAAATAAACATTATCATTGCGGAAATTAGAATTTGTGAGTCATTAGTTCGATTTACGAACGAAATGAACAAATGCTAAATTCAAAGGAACGAAAGAAAATGGCGCGCAAAACATATTTGTTTAGCTTTAGCACTGACCAAACACAGTTGCCACGACCACCCAAGATCACGAGCTATGGCGGATATATCTATGCCCATTGGGGGCGTGGCAAATCGGATGAATTTGTATCTATAATTGTATGTGTACGCCCACCAGGGGCGTGGTAATTTGAAACTAAATATATAGTGTTTTTTTTTAATTCTGCTATATTTTGAACAATATTAAAGCTAGAGACTTCAAATTTTGTATATGTATGTATATACTTGGGCAGACCAAAGGCCAAAAAGCTTCGACGGATATATGTATGTCCTAAACTATAAAAGCTAGAAGCTTCAAATTTGTATAGTTTAGTTACTAGTAGCCTCCTCTATCGATGACCCAAAAATAATTTTTACGCCTCTTTAGGGGCGTGGAATATCGAAAAATACGCTCTATTCACATTTTTGAAGTGCAAGTATCCAAATTTTGCTCGTTCTAAGAACTGGCCAAAACTGGATTGTCTACGCCTAGTAGGGGCGTGGCAAATGGAGAAAAACTACATTTTCTTCTGTATTAAACTAGGCTACTAACGCCCGACTGCAACGTCCTTATTTTTATATGAAATATATACAATATACAAAAATGTTGAAAAAAAAATTGAAAATAAAACATATTTTTTACAAACTTTAATTTGTTTTGAATTTAGCTTGTTTATTCACCAACAACTTCAATTACATGTATGTATTTGTGTCGTTTATTTAATATCTTGTTAGAGTAAAATGTAACGAAACGATGTTTTGTTTTTTTTTTAATAATACCTTAGCAGTTTTCCATTATTTAGCCTTCTTTATATTGATCAAATGTCAAATAAAGATGTCATAATGTATAAGTTGTATATTTTCTAATAATATATGTATTTATTGATTTCCCAATTTTAATACTTAATGGAAACAGTTTTTTCTTCTCGAGAATTCCAAGTCAGGTTTTGTCACTTTTAGAAGACTACATATGGATATTAATACATAGTTTGAGTATGTAATGTAATACATGTGGCAAACATTACTTGTTATATAATTTAATGTAATATAATATAGTAAGTACGCGTATTTGCAGTAGGTATATTTGAATCTCTAAATTCCGATTAATAGGCTTGAATTAAGCTTTAAAACATAAACCTTCTAAAGAGAGTATATGTGTGTGCGGATATAATAAATATTTCTCTACTTTTATCATAGTATGCATCATTGATGTGCACAAAACATGAGATATTGCCGCCAATATTATATTATGATACTTGTTTTATAGTTTTCTTGACCCCATACCAGCTTTTATTTTGTATGATGTAGTATATGTATATATGTATGTATATAATAACATTATAACAGCGGTTTCATATCGGTATACGTTTTATGTTTTACGTTATATGTTTTATGTCTTATGCTATATTGTCTAATTCACAAGTATTCAAGCAGGCTTTTTTAACACGCACAACAGCCAAATCGAAACAGAACTAATATTGATTTGATAATTATTTACTTATTACCCTGCACAATGCTTTTGTACTACATTATTTAATAAGTATATGTGTATATGGGAGTATTAATATTGTTAGTAATAATGTTTGGTGAGTGCATGATTGCATTTTGCAATTCTTAAAAACACGATTTTCGTAGTCAATTCATATGCATAGACAATTGATATTCAATATGTTATTTGATTATTGTTTTATGTTGTATTAGTATGCATAAATATTGTGAACAGTAAAACAACAACAATAATCAGCAAGTATTTCAGCTTCGCATATTTACAAATGTTTGAATCGAATCGTAATCTCATTGTATACCTGCGATTAAATAAACATACATATGTATGTAGGTATGTGTGTATATGCTTTTAAGCTCTTTTTCACTGCGTCAGCTAATTAAGACAATTATGTATGTATGTATAAAATTTTCTTTGCTATGTTGTATGCGCATAAAAATGTTGATAATATGCCCATTGGGTGGCAATTTGATGGTTTAAAGTATTTGGATTTTACGTAGCCTTTAATAGGACTTACAACGCGTGGAGAAACTTGCAGCCATTCAAGTGACTCGCGTCAATATCCGGTTTGATTCATTCAATCTTTTAAAGTTAAGAAATAAATGGAATTAAGTGTACATGATTATCATTTGTACGCGCATACATCATACATTAAAACGAAGATTAATCAATGCAAAAACGCCCGATGCAGTTCGACCTTTTAGTTCCCTTATTTTGTCAGATATACATAATACTTATATACATATATATGTATGTATATATTTATGCATTTAGTATTAGGCTATGTTTATAATATATTGGTTATTTTCATATAGTAGTTAGCTATAATAATATAAACGACACGAAAAACAATTCTATACTATTGTCGTATTATTAATGTACTTTAAATTGATTTGCTTAAAGAAGGCTGGTCCCTACGACCCAAATGCTGCACAAATCTGCACCCTGTTGCTCATGTATGTAGTTCAAATGTGCGCTACGAAAACTCAACAAACCAGACCAAAATCATTTAGATTACAGTTAAACAAAGTCTTCATTGACAAATTTTTCATTTTTAACATGAGCAATATTTTCAAAAATCTAGATGAATGCAGCGCAATACTACTTTGTACCACTTTGGCCCAAGTCCTTGAAAAGTACTAAATTTCTTGCATATAATGAGTCGAGAATGGTGTGAGTAAATAAGTTATACTCTTCAGATTATATATATTTATATATATATATATATATATATATATATATATATATATATATA